ACAACTAAATATTTCTGGTTATGTGCACCATATCATTTTTTTCCGTGTAGGATAATGCAACTATATTGCTTACAACTAAATATTTCTGGTTATGTGCACCATATCATTTTTTTCCGTGTACGATTACGATAATTCTATGACAATAATTCTATGACGATCCCACGACGAAATCAACACAATCACGCACGAAACGACTATAACCAATATAATAACATTGACAGCGAGCATTGATCAAAGTTGCAGTCGATAACCATCACCAGCAGCATTATCCACCTTGTAAATCTAAGCTACTACAAATATAACGATTTTATTCCCTATAGATGTCTTTATTATCGACTTTGTAAGGATTTAGGTCGATAAAACGACACGGTGTCGCTGCGCGTCCACGGCGCGAAACGCTACCGTAAAACCGATCAATCCAATATCATGGAGTCGTCGACGACATCGACATCATCACTCGCGATCGCGATGGTCGACAACGTTAATAATACGTAAGTACTACCGTGTCTCGTGACTAATAACCTAACTAAGGAAATAACTAATGACTAATTACAGGGTTGAAGATATAAAGGCCGAGGCAATGGTCAAGGCGGAGATGTGTGAAAAGCGGGTCGAGTCCGCGGCGCCGGCTCAAGCTGCATCTTCTACAGTACCTCCGCCCGGAGGTGCACCGCCGTTTCTGTTACCGTTGCCTCCGCCACCGCCGCCGTCATCACTCGCGATCGCGATGGTCGACAATGTTAATACGTAAGTACTACCGTGTCTCGTGACTAATAACCTAACTAAGGAAATAACTAATGACTAATTACAGGGTTGAAGATATAATTTTGGCCGAGGCAATGGTCAAGGCGGAGATGTGTGAAAAGCGGGTCGACTCCGCGGCGCCGGCTCAAGCTGCATCTTCTACAGTACCTCCGCCCGGAGGTGCACCGCCGTTTCTGTTACCGTTGCCGTCACCACCGCCGGCGTCTTCATCATCAACGACAACGACGGTGGATAAGTCTAAACGTAAGTCTAAAATTTGTTGCATAAACTACACGGTCGATCTCGAGTGCGCGGTTCTAGCCACGCTTTTTTATACTTGACGCGAGACTACCGTGTTTTGTTTCGTACAATACTTATGTTCTTTTTTTTTTACAGCAAGATGGTACCGTGCTGGGCGCGGGCGCAAGGAAGGGTGGAACAGCCGTGGCCGTGGCCGCGGTCGTGGCCGTGGCCGTGGCAGCGGCCGCAGCCGCCCCTACACCAACAATAAATATGGAAATATTTATTTTTATTAATAATCCCATTATATTATCTTTATCATTATAATATCATTATAATATCATTATAATAATCCCATTATAATAATCCCATTATATTAATTATAAAATATCCCATTATATACATATCTCTTATATCTAATATAATAAATATATCTAATATAATAAATATATATAATAAAACTAGATTTTATTATCCTTATGTATCGTGACTAAATGTATGTAGTAAGAAAAGGACAAAAGGGGTGATCTACGACGAAGAATATATAATATATAAATTTTTTTCTTATACAGTGAACAGAAACGACAATGGCACAAAGTGTTACTAAACTCGTTACGTTAGCGTTTGATTTGATTGAGTGTTCGTTTAATTATTGGCAACGTGATGAATAGTTTAAGTGTTAACGTTAATTTCGAGCAGATCAATTTACTAATCACTGCTACTTTATGCTTGCTTCGTAGACACACGCTAATCTCTCAGCCACGCAAACCTCTCATTCTCTCACACTAAAATCGTGCTTTTCTCTCGCTCTCTCATTCTTTTATATTTATGCATGTATACAGGGTGTACCTGAACTGGCAATAAATATTTTAATGACAAGAACTTTGTAACATTTTGAGACGAAAATTCTAATACGAAAAAGTCGAGGCTATAATAGTTTTCAAATGGGAACAGTTTAAACATCTCGAATAGCAAAGCTAGAATTTCGCGCGCTCAGGGATGGCAAAATGGCCAGTGATAAAGGTGCTTTCTTGAACCACACGTCCTTCACATTAATGAAATTAGTGTAAAAATGTATGCAAGACTTTTATTAAGAAACTATTTCTGTTTATTTGCAATGAATTTTAGAAATAGTTT